CCGTATTAGCCAGGCTGGTCTTGAACTTCTAGACTCAAGTCATCCGCCCACCTTGGCCTCCCAAAGTGCTGAGATTACAGGTGTGAGCCACCGTGGTTGGCCACAGTAGGTCCCCCTTGCCACCTTGCTGGTGACTCTCGTCTCTAAACCACTTTAATGAACTGCTCCTGTCACCTACTTGAGTATTTACATGTGCTATTCATATACCCTCTTTCCTAAAGAGGCCTATTCTTTGGAAGAGGGTGAACAAATGAAAGTGTTTCAGTCATATACAAATTGAATAACCAGTAATGTTTGTCAGATGCATGAATTTGAGAACGCTCTGTGAGGGTTACTGCCCCACAGTCACATTTCTGCTGAAGCAGAATCTGCATTTGTTACAGCTCTTAGCAAAATTTCAATGTAACCCATGTAAAATTCATCTGAGATCTTCAGAGTTAACACTGAGGATGGTTTGGGAAAATGCCATAGTCATCTAACTTTTTTCTTTTAAATCAAGCTGCGTCCTCTTTCTCCTCTCCCCATCTGCCCCCATCCCTGCTAGATGAGCTTGGGGCAGAGGGCGAAGCTGACCTGCACCCCTGATGTGGCATATGGAGCCACGGGCCACCCCGGTGTCATCCCTCCCAATGCCACCCTCATCTTTGACGTGGAGCTGCTCAACTTAGAGTGAAGGCAGGAAGGAACTCAAGGTGGCTGGAGATGGCTGCTGCTCACCCTCCTAGCCTGCTCTGCCACTGGGACGGCTCCTCCCATTTGGGGCTCTTGATCAGTGTGCTAACCTCACTGCCCCATGGCATCATCCATTCTCTCTGCCCAAGTTGCTCTGTATGTGTTCGTCAGTGTTCATGCGAATCCTTGCTTGAGGAAACTTCGGTTGCAGATTGAAGCATTTCAGGTTGTGCATTTTGTGTGATGCATGTAGTAGCCTTTCCTGATGACAGAACACAGATCTCTTGTTCGCACAATCTACACTGCCTTACCTTCACTTAAGCCACATACACAAGGTGCTGAGACATGAAATGTACATGGCGTACACAGAGGGACTTGAGCCAGTTACCTTTGCTGTCACTTTCTCTCTTATAAATTCTGTTGGCTGCTCACTTAAACAATGTCCTCTTTGGAAATATGTAAAATAAAGGCTCTGTGCTTGACAAACTCCTGTCCATCCTTATTTTAGGTAGGAAGTGCTCTGTGGACCACACAAGCCAGTTGCCCCTGGGAAAGAGTGGAAAGGAAGCAGGGTTCCAAGTGGCTAGGCAAGTGATAAATATAATAGCTACAATGTGAGCATTTTACATGCTGGGCCTTGTTCTACATACTTTTTTATTTATTTATTTATTTATTTATTTGAGATGGCGTCTCGCTCTGTCACTCAGGTTGGAATGCAGTGGCACAATCTTGGCTCACTGCAACCTCCGCCTCCATGGGTTCAAATGATTCTCATGCTCACCACAACGCCTGGCTAATTTTTGTATTTTTAGTAGAGACAGGGTTTTGTCATACTGACCAGGCTGGTCTTGAACTCCTGACCTCAAGTGATCTACCTGCCTTGGCCTCTCAAAGTGATGGGATTACAGGTGTAAGCCACTGTGCCTGGCTGTATATAGTTTTAAATTATTACCATCGATCCTCTAAGCAACCCTGCAAAGTAGATATTACCTGCCACTCATCTCAGGCTCAGAATCCTCCTCTACATAACTAAAGAAATACAGGCTCCAAATCTTGTAGCTTAGCAATCAGATGTGGGATTTGAGCACCTTATGTGCTCTTGCAATCTCTGTTTGGACTACAGCCAGAGGGATGAGCCCCACTCACCCAGATGGAAACAGAACACTTTGTGCGTCCAAACAAATAACGGTGTATTAAGGGCTTGAAGTCATATACTAACTCACACTGGGAAGTTCCTTGTGAAAACAATGTGTGATTCTGAGCTTGTTTTCACATACACTGCTTAGTTTCACCTAGATTTGTTCTGACTTACACTGAGGAATTACTTTTGGGAAAAACGTATGATTCTGAACTTCTTTCCACATATAGTGCTTATTTCATCAACATTTATTGTAACTGACCAGAAACACCAGTTAGGTTTTACAATCAACCCACTTATTGGTATAGGTTATGTATAGGTCAGAGGAGCCTGGGGCAATGTGCTCAAACATTTTTCTCTCTTTTTTTTTTTTTTTGAGACGCAGTCTCACTCTATTGCCCAGGCTGGAGTGCAGTGGGTAATCTTGGCTCACTGCAAGCTCTGCTTCCTGGGTTCACGCCATTCTCCTGCCTCAGCCTCACGAGTAGCTGGGACTACAGGCGCCCGCCACCACACCCGGCTAATTTTTTGTGTTTTTAGTAGAGACGGGGTTTCACCATGTTAGCCAGGATGGTCTCAACCTCCTGACCTTGTGATCCGCCTGCCTCAGCCTCCCAAAGTGCTGGAATTACAGGCGTGAACCATTGCGTCCAGCCTCAAACATTTTTCTTTCAGTTGGTATAGGGTGAGAAAAACTCCTGGCCATAGTTGGGGTTATTCTTTTTTTTTTTTTTAAGCATTTATTTATTATTTAAAAAAAAATAGAGATGGGGGAATCTCACTATGTTGCCCAGGCTGGTCTCGAACTCCTGGCCTCAAGCTATCTTCTCTCCTCAGCCTCCCAAAGTGTTGGGATTACGGGTTTAAATTACTGCACTCAGCCAATAGGGTTTTCTATCAGTGACAACTTGAAATTGTTTCAAGATTGAGGAGGGAGGGGCTGGTAACAGGTACTGCTAGTGTTTCTCATAGACCCACTGATACATGTCACATGATGTCATATACATGCTATGAGGCCATATCATCTTGGCTACATGATCTACCTTTTTTGTCTCCAAGAAATCCTGGCTGTATTCCTTTGCTGAGGGTGGAGGAGCTAATGAAGAAGCAGAGGTTTAGGACGCACAAAATAAGAGAAAGGAACTGCCTTGCATTTTAGTCACCCAAAGTCCCTGTGCTCACCTCTACTGTGGGACTAGACCAGCCAGAAGGTATTTCCTTCAGAATGTCTTGGTTCCTGACTTTCTTTGATGACACAAATGCCTACAATAATTTCTTAGAAGTCAGCCTGCATAAAAGACATATGCATATTTTCTCTTGTGACACCAATAACTAAATATGGCATAAAGGACTATTTCAGGTGCCCACTATGGGGCATATAAAAGATCTTGGTCTAGAGTATTTATAGCTGAGGCGGGTCAAAGAAGACACCCACTAAGAGAACTCCCCCAAAAGTGCAAACACATACTGGCTAGCACCTGGAGAGGACAGACTAGGCTCTGCAGGTAAACTGGGAAATGAACCATTTTACTGGAGCTTTAAAAGATGATGCAGAAAATTATGATGCAGCATACTAATGAGTTTGGACATTGGCCTGTGAAAGCCACTAAAGTTGTTAAACAGAAGAGCAATAATGAGATCAAGGTCGCCGGGCGCGGTGGCTCAAGCCTGTAATCCCAGCACTTTGGGAGGCCGAGACGGGTGGATCACGAGGTCAGGAGATCAAGACCATCCTGGCTAAGAGGGTGAAACCCTGTCTCTACTAAAAAATACAAAAAACTAGCCGGGCGAGGTAGCGGGCGCCTGTAGTCCCAGCTACTCGGGAGGCTGAGGCAGGAGAGTGGTGTAAACCCGAGAGGCGGAGCTTGCAGTGAGCTGAGATCCAGCCACTGCACCCCAGCCTGAGGGACAGAGCGAGACTCCGTCTCCAAAAATAAAAAAAAATAAAAAAATAAGATCAAGGTCACGTCAGTTGTTTTCAAACTTTCAGTCAATGAATTCTCTATTCATACAAATTTTTTCTTAGAAACTCAAAAATTTAACCTAGATGAAAGTCAAGCAGCTCTGGCACACATATGTGCACATATAAACACAGTCATCTGTTGCACTCTTAAAAGCATTTGAAAAACTGAACTTTGGATGCCTTGTGCAAAGGACTGATCGTAATTATATCCTCAGCATCTTGGTGCAGTACTGTGTGCAGAGTGGGGGGTCAGTGTTTGTCCACTGAGTGCAAGTTCTTGTAACTTAATTGGGACAGGATATGGAATTTCCAAATTAGAGGGAAGTTTTAAAAGTCTTAACTTTAGGTCACGAAATTCAGCTAACATATATCAATCCAAATGATGGACTGGTCATGATTGCTAATAGAAGGAATTTCTCCTTGTTATTAAAACAACTACACCAGAGGCAAGCTAGCCTGCCACTTAGACAAATCACACTCTAAGTTTTAAAGTCTAATTTCAGTTTTTCTCTTACAAGAAAGTCTTTTAGAAAATTCTTTTTACATTACCTAAAGGCACAACATGCATTACAAAAACCAATAATGCACTCATAAAAGCATTCAAAAGAAAATTACAGCTCTGGCTCCTTTCTTATCTGCCCACCCTTAGAAATGACTCTACTCTCTTACACTGCTTTCAAAAAACACTCAGATACAATTAAAAGCAGAATTGATGCTCTTTGTCCATTGAAATGATTCAGTGTATGTACCCTTCAAATTGATTTTAGGTTCCAATTACACACAAAACAATTAGTCCATGTTTTCCCATTTGGTCCATGCCTAAGCAATAAAAAGCAAATCATTGCTATATTCTCCTAAGCTGCCATGATGATGAATGGGGTAATAACCATACTATTTCCATGTCATGGGAACTTATGATAATAAGAATGAGCATTAAGTATTTTATTTATGGTAAAGATATATTATGAACTAAGGTCCAAAATATATACAGATGCTTAATAACTAAAGGAAAAGGCTACAGAAATACAATCTTAGACATATAACAACCAACACCACTACCCAAGCAGCTTGCTCTCAAATTTCTACCAATGTGACAACCATTATGTACCCATAATAATTTTTTAAAAAATTTAAAGAGGCAAATCTAAGTTTCTAACAATGTACTATCATCTAAGTGACCATTTCTATAACAGACCTCTGTTCTAAAGACAAGGGTACCCATATTGACAAAGGTGTTTTGTTAACTATAAAGCAAGCATTATTCACATGTAAAGGCTTTGTTAATAACTGGTTGTTATCACATCAGCTTTGTATGTTAGCATTTTATTCATTCAACCAACATCATGAGCTTTGGTTTCCTCACCTGCAAAATGCAAATACCTATCTTCACTGAGTTGTTATGAAGGTTTAATTATTAATAGACATTCAATAAACAGCAAGTTCCTTTGATGGCTAAGCATTGCACTGGGCCCTGGAGGCATTAAGAATTTACATTAAGAAGTCCTGTTCTCAAGAAGCACAGAATCCCTAGGAGCACCTACAATTGTTGATAAGCTTCGACTGTTTTTTCCTGGTATCAAACAGGAAGGGAAAGTTCAAGAGAAAAGATTGAGGTGTTTCACAAAAAGCTGTAAGTTTATTAACACAATGTATTCTAATATGTATCAAAGTTTCAAGTAGGTCATGATGAATCTCAAATTAGAAATCACAATATTTAGTATTAATTAAAAAGGAAAAAAAAGTGGAAAATTGTCATTCATGGGATTTAGTCCAAAATGAAAACGCAGAAAACATTTATTTTGGTGGATCTGTGTTGATGCCATATTTCTCCTTGAGAAGCTTCAACTGTTCCTCCTTTTTCTTTGTGTCCATCTTCTGAAATGCCTGGAAATGTGGTAAGCACCAAAATTAAATTACCAATCTATAGCCAAATGAATTTCATCAATAGCATTAGCCAAAAAACAAAGTCACAGTAGACATATATCATCACAGTACAGTTCTACACTAATTCTCAAATGACATCACTACACAATGAGAACTTACTTACCCTGTTGGCATTATAGTACAAAACCACAAGGTATCTGTTACAAACATTGAATCCCGATAGGTGATCACATGCATTCTTGGCATCAAAGATGTCCTCATAGACCACATAAGCTGTTCCTCTAGTTTCAGGTGTGTTCCCCCTGGAGAGTTAAATCAAATTTAATTAAGATATACATTTACCGAGCATTGATAGTTGACTTACAGAACTGTCTTTTAAAAACAGTAAATTGAAATACGTTTTTAGTTAAGTATTTTGAAATCAACCTGAAACCATTAGAAGAAATAAACACGGATAGATATACTGGATAAACCTGTAATTTCTTGAATTAGGTAATTTTG